TCCCTTCAGCCCTGGTCTCTCTGGTCTCGATGGTTCATTCAGTGGCCTTCCCAGGTCCCGGGGAATGACAGCCGCTGAGAGAGCCCCTTCTTGATTTGCCTGGCTCAACCCTATCACCGGGAGCAATCTTAGCTCCAGTCTCTCATCCTGACGCTGGAGTGTGAGAACACGAGGGGCCATTTGTGTCACACCCCCACACGACTGGACAGTGACAAAGCGATCTTCTGTCTTCCTAGACAAAGGCCGTCCCCTCTCATTATTCAGTCCCGTGAAGGGACATGGGGCTGTTGCTGTGTGTACAACTGTTCACAAACCCTCAGTTCACATCAGAGACTCCTGCTGCACTGTGCTCTGAGCCCTGACCAGTCTCGTGGTCACCAGGGCCCCAGGGGAGCGGGGCTGTGTTAGACACGGATGCTGGGACGTACTGGTGGCGGGAGGTTAGGGCAGCCCCGCAGCCTCCTGCAAGGCCAGCAGTGCAGCTAAAGAACCTGCACTTTGCTGCCAACGCTGCATCGCTGGCTTCTTGCTCCCACGCAGGCTGCTGACGGGCACCATGTTTTGTGCGTACACTGTGGAGTTTGCCCTGGAACCCCTGCCCACGGACAGAACCCGAAGGATGAGCTTGCTCTCCTTTGCCACTTGTTTCTTCTGGGTTGACCACTGCGTCTCGGGAGGTTCTAGGAGACAACAGGTCCAGGGTGCGTGTTCTTTCTGCGCGGCTCCAGAGGGCGACGGGCCCCAGAGGCAGGTGGCCTAACCTCCCCCCTGCCCGCCCCCGAGGCTGCTCCTCAAAGGGCACGTTTAATTTTAGAAGGCTGGACGGCTTTACGGCTCCAAACTATTTGAACTGTCCGTCCTTGTGGGAGGCCGCACACTTTATCCGTGGCTCAAATGGGATGGACAGTCATGCATTTTCAACAAGTATTTTCCACTGCAGACAAAGGAGCAACAGAGGAATGGAAGGACCACGAGAAATCCCAATCAATACTCTGGCCGTCTGCCATCTCGTTTTTTCCCCAGTTTGGTGCCCCCTCACCTGACGTCGACCCTTGTCCACGTGGGATGCGTGGGAACCCGGCCTCCTGCTGAAAGGCAGGGTCCCCACGGACCCCTTGCCCCTCGGCTGTCACTTCCACACGGGGTTGGTTCCTCAGGCAGAATTGCCTGACAAAACCATCTGCAGGAAATCTTCAGAAAATGCTTGACGGGAACCCAAATGCCCCGGAGATGGCCAGAGATGACAAGCTGAGGTTTGGACCGCTTTGAAGTGGCGGAGAGGGGTGATGAGAAGGTCAGGTGGGAGGAGGCTGCCAGGAAGAGCCCCCGGCCCTGGACCGGCCAGGGAGAGTGCTGTCCGGGAAGCGGGGCCGGGCAGGGGGCAGCCCCCTACCACCCTAGCCCAGGATCAGCCGACCATCGTTCAGGGTTAGGCTTCACTGGGTGTCAGTATGATTTCAGGCTCGTCCTTAGTCTCCAAATCCTACCTGCTGAGGCCTGAAACCCTCCTCATCGAGACAAAGCTTGATTCTAAAAAAAGAGATAAAGGGCTCACTTATGCAAATCTGTGGTGCTTTAGCTCTGGCTGAAAGTCATTCATATTAAAATGTAATTGCTCAGCTTTTCCCCAGGTGGGACGGCTGATCTCCATGGAGACGGAGACTGGTCTAGCAGCAGTGGTACTAGCAGACCTGCCCGGCCTGGAGGCCAGCACAGCCACGGGAAGGTCAGGCGAGGAGCCTCCCTTACAGGGCTGGCTGCCAGCTGGCCTGTTAGCTTTGCTCCTAGGAAACCACACAGCGTAGACCAGATTTAGGGAAGGGATGGGTGCGTGTCCTTTGTGTGATTATCTCCTGGGCCACTGGGTCGAGCCGCACCCTTAGGGCACACATGCAGGTGGTTCTCCTGCCGGGGTGAATTCCTCTCCCCCCAGAGCCGGTGTGTGTCAGTTACGAAGACCGGGGACTTGGGCCTGGGAGTGCGGCAGGCTGGGAGTGGTCAGGCGCTTTTGTTGCAGATGGAGACGGGTCCAGGCTCCTGGCGGTCGTGCCTGGGGAACTGAATGGACCACACAAAGATAAGCTTCCTAACGGACAAATCAAATCCTCTGAGAAGCCCAGAGCACCCGCCTGAGCCAGTCAGTGCTGACCATCCAAATATCCAGGGAAATAAGCACCCACTGAAGGAGAGAGGCTGAATCCTGAAATGGCCCGGTACCTTCCTGCAGCTGAGGGGGCCAGGCAAAAAGAGAAAAAAACAATCCAGCTGGAGAGGAGAAAGCACATCCTTGTGGCAGGTCAGGGATCATCTCAAAAGTTCCAAGTCAGTTCTTTCTCTGCTCCTAGTAGCTAATCCCTTCTCTGCTCCCAGCCCTTGGCCTAACTAACCATCAGGAGGTAAAAGAAAAAAAGGGATAGGGGCTCTCCTCACACAGAAAGTGCCAGGGGCTGCATTTTACCAAGTTTAAGAACTAGGTGCCGAAATGCAGGCATCACCAAAGGTACACTAAACTATTTAATTTCAGAGTGAATATATATCTTAAAAATGTGGAAGTCAAAATCATCCCTACTCACAAAACCCTCATTCCTTCCAGGAACCAAAGGGGTGGCAGCTTCAGCCTTGGTCTCTCAGCTCCATCAGCCCAAGATAAGGGAGCTGGGAGCAGGCTGTGTCTGACCAGGGAATGGCTCCCCTCTGTAGAACGGTGACAGGCTTCACAGGGTTTTCACTGCAGCTTCTACACAGGCAATTTTCCACAACCTCCCCCGATTGCCCACTCGGTGAGGGGCGGGGGAGAGGGCACCGCAGTGGTAACATTAGCAGGCGTCACGGCTGGGCGGTCAGGATTCTGCCTGAGCACAGCTGCAGTGTCTTGGGGTTTCCTGTTCTACCTCCTGCCTCGCCCCCCTGCCCACGAAGATACTCACTCACTCCCAGAGCGGAAGCTGATTCACGCAGGAGAGAAATATGTAAAGAAACAGGTGCATCAGAGAGGTGTGGTCAGGAAAGTCCACAGAGGAAATGGTGCCCCCGAGGCCTCTGGGGGAGAAATAGGTGACCACATGACCAACCATCCGGAGACTCAGTCAACGCAAAGCCACGGGGTTGTGACAGCGGTTTGGTGTCATTGGAACATCGAGCGTGAGGTCAGAAGAGGCAGGAACGACACCGGTGAAGCGAACTAATGCACTTACTTCTGGCTGCGGTCGCTGGTCACTCTTGAGTTTCAGCCCTGTGTGTCCACCAGCCGCCAGGCATCACCAGCTGCTGGTTCACGGCTGGGCCACGATCCAGTTCAAGGGACCCTCCCCCTGCCCACCCCGGTGCCCTCCCTGCCCTGCTGCCCACCTGAAGCTGCTCTCCCTCCTTCTTTTTCCCTCCATCAGTTACAGGACTCACTGCACACACACATTTCTTTTTTTTTACTCTAGAAAACTCAGAGTCATCACAAGCTAATTCCGTTTCTCCACACTCCCATTATCAACTAGTACACACATTTTAATAATTCTAGCTCAGAAGTGTCTTTAAAAACTGCCCTCAGAAGGGCAGTGGTGGTGTTTTGTTTTTTTAAGATTTTATTTATCTTTAGAGGAGGAAGGGAAGGAGAGAAATGTCAATGTGTGGTTGCCTCTCGTGCGTCCCCTGCTGGGAACTGGCCTGCAACCCAGGCTTGTGCCCTGACTGGGAATCGAACTGCGACTGTGTGGTTTGCAGGCCCGCGCTCAATCCACTGAGCTACACCAGCCAGGCTGTTTTCTTCATTTCTGTCTATGGGGATACGGGGCCTCAGCTCCGCACAGTGCGCATGCAGGTTGGACGCACCCGGGGGGCCTCAGGGAGGGACCACTGGAGTGGAAGTAAACTGTCTTTAAAACCGGGTGCACGGGAGGCGCCCAACGTCACCCACTGTCGGCTGTTGGAAGTCCGTGGCTCTGCAACATTAATGTGCTTTAACTCCTGGTGTTTTGTATTAACTCCTGTGCAGCCCGTACACATTCGCTTGGCTTTTGTGTTAGCTGATTGTCCTCTTGGCTGCGGTCTAATTTGTGTTGTTACCTCCCTGAGAAAAAGGCCCATGTCGGTTTTTCTGTGGCCAAATATCAAAGGATGCAGAGCATTTCCATGCTGAGAGTTTCACGGCGTACGCTCAAAATCAAGTTTGAATTCGTAGGATTGAGGGTCCTGGGACCACGTTTGAAGCCTGTGACCCCTAAAACGACCTTCCATGTGTCTTCTCTCCCATGGAAGTGGCAAGGTGGCTGCTGACATTTCTCCTGTGCCTAGGAAATCAAAACTTGCAGGTGGTGGGAGAAGGGGAGGGGGCAGTGAGCAGAGACCGAGTGTGGACAGTTTCTGTGTGGGCGGGACAGAGGTCCCTGGAGCCTGATGTCCCTTTTGCAGCCGGCAGCTGAGGTGTGGGAGTTCCTCCTTGCTCAGTGAGGGGCCCCCTCGGTGCCCTATCAGGACAGAGGCCCAGGACGCGTGCCGTGGGAGGCAAGAGGCTCAGAGGCCGCACTGGCTCCTCTTCTCGGTCAAGAGCGACAGCCACACGTCACTCCGTCCAGTCCCAGTTTCACATCCACTGAATGGCAGTGAAACGTAGCTATAGTTCACTGACCCTTCCATGAAAATACTGCACACGTGTCTGTGTAACCAGACTCAAGCACAACAAAAGGCAAAACAACTCCCTCCCCATGACCTGAGTGCCTTAGATGTAGGTTGAGGCAGCCAGACTGTGAGTGGCTGTCTGTTGCTAAAAATGCACTTGAAGTTGGGACAGATGTCAAGTACAGGACAAGGGGTCAAACTCCTGGACAGGGCTCTCAGACAGAAATCTTCCTCATGCAGCGGGTGGTCCACTTACAGGTTGAAGCATGAAAAGCAAGGTGTATTTTATATAAAATAGGAAATAGTTAATGTATATAAATGTATTTGCAATTCTTTATTTACAATGGATGATTGATAGCAAGAATTAAAGTAAAAATATACATGAGGTATAGATAAAATATTTAAATGCAAGATCATGTTTTATTTCCATTGGCAAAGTAGCAATGAATAAAAAAAATACTGTGGTATTTGACCCGCAAGCTTGACACAGCTTCCCCCTCCTTTTCCATTTATTTTTGGAGGCACAGGGGTGTCAGGTGGAAGTGGTGTCATTAACATGTGAGTAAGAAATTTAAAAAGTCGGGTAGTTTGAAGAGAAGGGGAGCCAGGAATATAATCATATCTGTTTTTATTGTTTTAAGAATGCTCTAGGTCCTTGCTTCTTGTGGGTCCTTGGGCCTATGAGAAATGAGACCCTCAGGCCCACCCCGCACTGTCTGGGGCAAAGTCCGGCCCTGAAGAACATCCCCAGGGCACGTGCGTGCAGGCTACGTTGGGAGACACAGTATCTTCCATCCCTGGGTGCCCAGCGCAGCCTCCGCACAGGCAGGGCCCCGTCTCTGTAGCAGGGCCCGTGTTACCCAGGTTACTTCACCGACAGCCTTGTCTATGCTCATTCAAGTCGCCCAGCACGTATGGATTTCAGATGGTGGCAGAAGTGACCTGGTTTTGCTCACGGAGCATTGCCCAAAGGGAAAGTTACGGCTTGGCCGACACTTTCTCAAAAGGTCAGGGAAATGAAATGTTCTTAGGTCTCAATTCAAACAGTCTGATTTTCCTTGCACTACACAGAACTCATATATATATATATATAGCATTTTTATTCCTCTCAATAAAATAATTGCACAATGTTGATAAGAGAAAACATTACAGAAATGCATACAATATAAAAAAAGGGAAAACATTTAAGTTTTTTCTCCCCTCTGACCCCAGTTGCTAAATTATGATACCAATCTGTATTTAGAAATCTATCTCCCTGAAACCAAACACAATAAATTATCTTGGTCTCTATAACTGCTGAATTACAATAAAAAGCAATTTAAATTCATTAGCAATCGGTTAAGGAGCCTCCATTTGCTTAGTCTATAGCTTAATAAATAAGGTTGGGTCGCTGCCTAGGTGGCTGGACTGGCTGATGAAGGAACGTGGATTTAGCAAACTTGCCCACATTTCCTGAAGTTAATGGACGATCATAGTTTTGGTCTTATGTGAGTTTCAAACCCTGACTTTCAGGTGGCAAAAGTTGAACAAATTCTGTCTTTAGGGCATCACACATAACAAAATAAGAGTCCTCTGAAGATGGAATGCTCAAGACTCTTAAATGACCATCAGCCCCCTTGGTCTGGGGTCCAGAGTTGAACTCAGTGCAATACACTGGTAAGAAAATGCCGATTAACTGTGACCGAATAGGCCACTGGTCAAACAGAAGGACGTTTAAGGACATCAGGAAATGTATCTGTGGCAACTCGACAAAGCTCAGAGCCTCCCTTTGGCTGAGAGTGGGCACAGGTGTCCCTGGTCTGCTCTAAGGGGTGGGGCGGGGCTCTGGGTCATCTCTTCCCCTGACCTCAGGGCTTCCTGGTACTTTGCTGAACCTGCACCTGGTGGGGACCAGGAGCACCTGAGAATCCAGCTTTAGACCGGTTGGGACTCCCGCCCCGTCCACTTCTTTGCCCTCACAGAAGTAACTGTTCCTTTCCTCGATTTACCCACCCCTTGACGCTCAGGTTTTGAATAACGGAAACAGCCTGCGGACACGGGAGAACCTTTTCTCGTTGTTTTCCTTTGGTTAGCTCATCTTTGGTTGAACATCAGGGCAGACGACAGCGGACACAGGGTCACACCTTGGCCTTAGCAGCAGCTCCTGCTCTGTTTACAGGATGGGGGTGCGGGGGGGGGAGGGCCACTTGGAAAGAATCAGGTAAGGAAGGGCAAGTCAGATGCGTTTCAAAATATGCAATTATATATAAAATGGGTACTTTACATATATACACAGTAGATGAGAGATATACACACATGTACATAGGCTATACATACATTTATTTACAGTTAAGAATATGCTTCTTAGAAGCTTATAAATAGCAAATTAGGCAATGCACAAGGAGAAAATCCACTTAATTTTAAGGAACATAGGTAAATGCTTTAATTTTTAAAAGATTATATTAGTGACGATGTAGCCACCTCCCGGAAGGCTGGGCAGGCGCGCACGTGCTCCTGCGCCATCCGCACTCCGCCCTCTCGGCGTCTCCGGGTTAAGCGGTGCCCCGTTCTCTCTCCTGCTTTCTCACGAGCACGCGCCCTCCCACAAGGGTTTGCCATCGCTGCCTCTTCCCTGAGTTGCATGTCACGTGGGGGAAGACTCAGATTTTCGTTTCTGGACCCTCCGCAATGAGGGGCTGAAAAGAGTTTCTAATCCTGGCCACTTCCGCTGCACACAGGTGTCCGAAGCCTTTATTGTACCATTCTGGGGAGTGGCCTCTGTGGGGACAAAAACCGGGGGGAAGTGGGGAAGGCCCCTTCCACACACAGCACAGCGATCTGCCACCACACGTCAGACAGGGATGTCTTTGTGCCCCATCGTCCACCCGGACATGGGCCTACAGCCCCCGGGCTGCCCCTCGGGGCTCAGAGAACCCGAGTATCAGCCCATGGTCTCCAGGCTCACTCGCTGCTCTAACCCACCTCGTCCGCTGGGAGGATTCAGACTGAGTTCTAGAGCCGCCCAAGAAAACTCAGCACCCGTCTCCCCAGACTGAGAACGTGGCTTGGCACCACGGACACTGGGAAGAGGCCGGACTGGAGCTAGTTTCTTTTCCACGGGGGGCAGCTGCAGGGGGAGGGGGCGCGCAGGGGGCCGGGGCCACAGGACCCCAGGGAGGGGACTCGTGCTGGAGCTCCCGTGTCTGTGTTTGCTCTGTGCGAGGAGCACACACAGAAAAGTGGGGACAAAATGGAAAGCAGGGAAAAGAGCAAAGGGCTTGGGGAAAAGGTCTGCATCTCAGGAAAGCTGGAGGAGAGGAAGCAGGGCGGGGGGCATACCCAACATCTATACAAGCCCGTCCCTGGCTACGAGGGGAAAGTACAGTGGAATAGGATGGCAGACCGGGCCTTGGCCAACGGCGGCAGCGTCATGCCTGCCACCCAGGAGCCCCACTTACTTCAGGTCCGCCCTGCAGACGTGGGTCAGCCTCGACTTGCCGGAGCCGCACGGTTCTATCAAGTACTGCGAGTCCATCACCAGGGCTCGCACGCCGCCCATGAGCTGGGCTTCTTCATGCTCCACGGACAGGGCCACCAGGGCGCACATTCCTTTGGGCAGGTCAGTCCTCCAGGTCCTGTAGGGAGAGCACCGCCCGTCGGAGTGGCGGTGCGGAGAGAAACGCGTGACACAGGTTTTCCTGCCCCCACTCCAGGCCCAGTTACTTGGACTAGATACGTGGTCTCTGTGAGTGTGGGTGATGGCTACATAGTGCAGGGCAGAGGCGGGCTCTGAGCCCAGAAACCATCTCGCAGCCAGCGCTGAGATCTGCCTTGGGGCCAGACCGCGGCTGCAGTGGTCACACAGTCTTGGAGTTGGGACTCATTCCATTCAGAGCCCCGCCCTGACCACTCCATTTAAAACCCCAGCCCTGCATGAATGGTGGGTACAAAATAGACGGGGGGGGGGGGTAAGAATAGTGCAGGAAATGGAGAAACCAAACAACTTACATGGACGACCCATGGACATGAACTAAGCGGGAGAGAATGATGGTGGGAGGGGGGTGCAGGGTGGAGAGGAATAAAGAGGAGAGAAAACAGGACAACTGTAATACTATAGTAGCATAATGAATAAAATATACTTTAAAAAATAAAGCCCCCTCTTCCGGCCAAGATGGAGGTATAGGTGGAAACACTGTGCCTCCTGGCACAACCAAGTTTAAAGACAACAAAGATTTAGTAACAAAAACGCAACCAAAACACAGGAAATTGAACTGTACGGAAGTCTGACAACAACGAACCATTCATCCAGACTGGTAAGAGGGGTGGAGTCAGTGGCTGGTGGAGCAGGTTGGGCAGGAAAGATCAGTGGATGGACCCAGGAACGTAGGTGGCGGATGGCAGATCGCAGGTGCGGGGTGGCAACGGGCGGACCCAGTGAGGGCACAAGGCGGCTGGCTGACTGTGGCCACACATTCACACGCAGATAAACCAGGCCAAGGAGCGAGCAGTGAGACAGACTGCACAAAACAGGGCCCCAGCAATGGGAATTAAAGCCTAAAAGCACCAACTGGAAAAACTTTTGGGGTTGAGGTGCCAGGAGAGGCTCCCAGGCTCACAGGAGAGTTCGCTGGAGAGACCCATAGGGTCCTGGAGGGTGCACAAGCCCACACACCTGGGAACCAGCACCAGAAGGGCCCAATTTGCTTACAGGAAGCAGCAGAGGGGACCGATGTCTGAGAGAGATCATGGAACAAGCGCCATTGCCCCTCTCTGGCCCCGCCCCCACACACAGCGTCACAACCCAGCGACTGGGTTGCCCCACCCTGGTGAACACGTAAGGCTCCGCCTCTCATACGTAATAGGTGCAAACAAACCAAAACATTATGGCTCAAGCAGAAGAACAGCTCAAAGCCCCAGAGCCAATACTTCTAAGTGACCAAGAGATAGCCAACCTATCAGATGCACAGCTCAAAACACTGGTGATCAGGATGCTCACAGAACTGGTTGATTTTAGTTACAAATTAGAGGAACAAACGAAGGATAAACTAAGTGAAATGAAGGGAAATGCACAGGAAACCAATAGTGATGGGAAGGAAACTGGGACTCAAATCAATGGAGTGGACCAGATAGAAGAAAAAAATGACCAAACAGAAAAGAATGAAGAAACAAGAATTCAAAAAAATGTGGAGAGGCTTAGGAACCTCCAGGACATCTTTCAACGTTCCAACATCCGAATTATAAAGGTACCAGAAGGGGAAGAGGAAGAGCAAGTGGAAAACTTATTTGAACAAATAATAAAGGAGAACTTCCCCAATCTGGCAAAGGAAATAGACTTTCAGGAAATCCAGGAAGCTCAGAGAGTCCCAAAGAAAGTGAACCCAAGAAGGAACACACCAAAACACATCATCATTACATTAGCCAAGATTAAAATGAAGGAGAGAATCCTAGAAGTAACAAGAAATAAGGGGACAGTCACCTACAAGGAGTTCCCATTAGACTGTCAGTAGATTTCTCAAAAGAGACCTTACTGGCAACAAGGGGCTGGAAAAAAGTATTCCAAGTTATGAAATGCAAAGACCTACATCCAAGATTGATCTATCCAGCAAAGCTTTAATTTAGAATGGAAGGGCAGATAAAGTGCTTCTCAGATAAGATCAAATTCAAGGAGTTCATCATCACCAAGCCCTTATTATATGAAATGTTAAAGGGACTTATCTAAGAAAAAGAAGATAAAAAAGATGAACAGTGAAAAGACAGCAAACTCAGTTATTAAGAACCACACCTAAAACAAAAGCAAACTAAGAGGACAGCTAGATCAGAAGCGGAACCACAGAAATGGAGATCACATGGAGGGTTAGCAACAGGGGAGTGGGAGGAGGAGAAGGGGGGAGAAGGTACAGAGAATAAGTAGCATAGACGGTAGGTAGAAAATAGACAGGGGGAGGGCAAGAATAGTGTGGGAAACATAGAAGCTAAAGAACCTGTGACACATGGACATAAAAGAAAGGGGGGAATGGCGGGGGAGGGGTTGTGCAGGGTGGAGGGGAATGAACGGGGGAAATGGGACAACTGTAATGGCATAATCAATAAAACATATTAAAAAATAAAAAATAAAACCCCATCCCTTGCCCTCCCCATCTCTTACTCATGCCCCTGGCCCAAGTAACCCTAGCCCCCTTACTTATTAGGGGCAAACTCTTTCTCCCTAGAAAATAGAGACCCCGAGAGAGCAAGACTGGGTCCACTGTCCTGCTAAGCCCCCAGCGGTGCCCGGCACCACGGGGATGGAAGGGTGCGGCGCTAAGGAAGAGCAGTCGGTGGACGGACGGAGGGAAGGAAGCCCTGTGCTGGCCTCTGGCCCTCAGCCACATCTCCAGGGGGGAGGGGACACTATGGCGGGCCCCACCCCCATGGCCGCCCCCCTAGAAGAGCAATTCGCTCGCTGCCTGTGAGAGTGAAGGCGTGAAGCTTAACTTCCCCAGATGACTAATGTCCCCATAACTCTGGTCCTGAGCCACCCACGGAACTGCCCTTGTTCGCCACCAGTCGCTAAGATAAACACATACATTTAGGGAACAGTGACCCTTAAAACCCAAGGTCCTGAGGACCCGCTGCACAGGCATAAACATCCTACGTGAAAAGTAACCTTTAGTCCGCCATCAAGACCAGTTTTCATAAAGAAACTGGCTCAAACGTGCACTCGGGGGCTCCCTCAGGATTCCTTTCGCACCTCGAATACGAGGGAAGAGCCGGCGTTTGCCACCCGTTATCAATAAAAACGATATACAGATCTCATTACACTGCCTTTGTGCGGTGCGTCAGTGTCCTGAGTCCCTCTTCTGTGGCACTCGGTGCTGACTCACCGGCCCCCACGCACCCACGGCTCCACCGAGCAAACTCCCTGTCCCTGGCCGACACCCCCTTCGCACCCAGACCCCTCAGGGCCTGTGTCAGCAGGAGACACAGTCCTGCGAGCCTGCTCCGGCCCCGGCACCCTGCTGGACCCCCAGGGACACAGCACAGGGGACCAGCAGCGCTGGGCCCGGGTTCCTGTGCGCGGCAGTGGAGGCTGAAGCCGCACACACTCCGGTCCCGAGGGCGATACGGGCCAAAGGCTCGCCTCCCGCAGGGCGCAAGGTGAGGGCTGAGAAAAGTCACTCGATTTGCATGATTTGGCAGGAAGTCCAACTGGGCAAATAGCAACTATTTTGGGGATTTTGTGCTGAGGAAATGAACCATGTTTACGGCCCAATAAACCGTATGCTCCGTCCTGGAGGGGCCTTAAGAGAGCCCAGCAGAGCAGCAAAACCGGCGAAGGAAGTCGGGCACAGATACGGCAGGGGCGGTTCTGCTCAGGGGGACGCGGCCGGCTTGGCGTCCCCAGCGTGGGCTGGATCTGGGTGCAAGGACTCTGAACTGCCCCCACCTGCAGCTCCCAGCCTGCTTGGGGGGGGGAAGGCATTTAACTGCTGGTCCGACTTACCTGAGGACCACGAAGTCCCGGGAGGGATGGGGGGCCATGCTGTCCAGCACGTACTGATAGACTTCGGTCTGCTTGTCCAGGGTCTCCACCACCTTCCACTGCACGAAGTCCTCGTCCCAGAGGTGGCGCTCCCTCAGCACGCGGTTCAGCACCACCGAGGGCGGGGCTTCCACCTCCGCCGAGGCCTTCCACAGCTTCAGGGGGGTCCCGTCGCCCACCTCGGGAAGGACAACCACAGATGCTAAGAGAGGTCAGCTGGGCCCAGCAAAAGCCACCCCCGTTTCCCGGGGTGTTCCAACAAATCTCTGACCATGCGTCTTGAAAGAGTGAGTCTATTTTATAGGTTTACCATTTTATAACGGTAGTCCTTAGGATTAAAATAATGATGGTGATGATTATAAAATAATCCCTATCCATACACACAGTGGTTCTGCTGCTGGCCAGGTGCTCTCCCAGCCCACTGGATGTTCAAACGGCCCTCCCCTAGCCGGGGCATTTCTATTATGTCTGTCCTGCAACCGAGGGAACCAAGGCAGAGAGAGGCATGTGACCTGCCCGGTGTGACACAGCCGGGGGCCAGACACTGGACTGGGACGCAGCAGGCTGGCTCCACCACCTGTGCTCCGAGCACGTGCAACCCGGCCCCTCGGCCGTCCTCAGAAAGGAACTTCAGCCTGGTCGCTTGCATGCCCCATGGGTAGCCGCCTATTTTTTTTTTTTAAACAAAACAAATTTCTTGGTTGTCAGACGCGGCTCTTCCGGGTACATTTTTGGGAGCCCCGAGATTACCTTTTTGAAAGCCAGGTCTGTGTTGTCTGTGCTGGAACACGTCACCCACCCCTTGAACTTCTCCTTGGCCTCCTTCTGCAGGCCCTGGAGGAGCTGGTCCAGGTAGGTGTGGAAAGTGGCCCCACTGTCCTCCAGCTGGGTCCCCAGGTCTTCCAGAGTCGGGGCGTGGATCTCAGCCTCCATGTACGCGTCACGAAACTGGGCGACCATCTCGTGCGGGACCTGCAGGGCAGGGCGGAGCGACAGGCTGCGGTAAAGAATGGCAGGACCGATAAAGAAAGCAACATCATCTCCTCAAAGGCCCTCTGCACCAGCCCAGGCCAAGTTCCACGGGCCAGGAGACATCATCCTGAGATCAGAGGTGAGGCTGGTGGGGCGGGTAGGGCTTCCTAAAGTCAGGAAACCCAAGTCTGTTTCCGAGGCTACATTTATCACCCCAATGGCCTTTCCATTTCCCTCGAACTTTCCCTTTAATGTGTCTTTATTCCGTTGGGCAAAAATGTGGGCTCAGGAAACTCGAAGCATGTAGACGTCAGAGAAACATCCAACATGGCTTAGAAATAGCTTTATCTTTTCAGCACACTTTTCTCGATTGCAGATGCCAAATTCGCCACAAGAAGCAGCTGGAAGTCTGGCTCCCTTCTTTAACCTGTCTGGGGCTGCACTCATGAGCCGAGATTGATTCTCCATGAATAGGAATGGTCAATGTCTTGCACACACACACCACAGACACACACACAGATGCTGAACCCAGTCAAACCCCGGGGTAAAGTCCAAAAGGACGTAATCGGCCGGCTTGCCTGGACTCACGCAGGCGAAGGTGACGCAAGTGTCCTCAGGACAACTGTCGCCTAAACCCAGGTGTCTTTACCTGCTGAGCCTCTGTCAGAGACAGAGGTAGCCCTCCCACTTTTTGGCGGCCAAGACCAGAGCTCTGCGGGCACTCCCGTCATTGTAAACTCAGGAACGAACCTGGAGCGTCTGTTCTGAGCATCGCCTCTGGTTCCAGGAGCCGCAGGGACGTTGGGGACAGCCCCTCACTCACCTCGAACAGCCTGTCGCACTCTGCGATCATGTGGGCGAGGCCCTGCGCGGCGGCCAGGTTCTCGTTGAGGTCCTTTTGGTCTGGCTTCCCGGTGGCATACTTCTTCTGGATGCTTCTGCAAGTGCAAGGGGCGGTCCTGAGCAGACCCCAAACCCCAGGGTCCTTCACAAAGAAAGCTTTCCTTGTGTTTCTGGCTCCTGCCCGAGGGTGGCGGGGGGGGGGGGGGACCCCAGCCTCTCTCATGGCCACTTAACTGCCATCAGCACACCTCCCATCGGAGGCTGGCTGAGGGTCTGATGGCTCATAAGGCAGCAACAGCGTGGAAGAACCCAAGGGCAGGAGTAACTGTTGGGGGCGGGGGCACGGATCTATTTGTTCCCAAAGTCTGAAATCACTTCGCCCAAGCTGCTGTGCTTGGGCCTGGAGTCAGCCTCCTTTTTCTCTTTTGTTTTTTAAACTTAAAGATAGTAAAATACTACTTCACACACTTTACTTTCCTTCCCACTCACGCACACAGAACACAAATTCCTCCGGTTTCCTGGGCCACCCCAGACATTCCTCAGTGCCCCTCGGACCACTCTCTGATTCTGGGCCCCCGAGTCAGGTCGCCTGGAGACTTTTTCTGGTTATAAATGAAGAGCTGACAAATTCTTGAGTTGAAACACGACACGAGGAGGCTTTTGTTAATGGGCTGGGGAGGCCGTTGCCGGTTTGGGTGCCGGTTGGTGCCGAGGAGAACCCACCTGGGGGAACTCTCCTTCTTCAGGAGGTTGAGGTGGAAGAGCGAGGGGGCCAGGCACACGGCCAGGTTCATGGGCGTCATCTGGTTCTCCTCCACCAGGCCGACCACGTCGTGCAGGAAGCACAGCAGCGTGTGCAGGACGTCCCGGCTCTCGTCCGCCAGCAGCAGGGTGGCCGCCTGCGCCGCCTGCAGCCGCTGCTCCTTGGGCACGTCTGGGGAAGGGGGGAGCCGGACCGTCAGAGGGGCCCGCTGGGAGGCAGCGGGTGCGCCCCGCAACCCTGCCCGGGCGGGAAGACACGCTCGGGGCACCATGAAGCACAGCGGCTCCGACGTCATTCACTTAACCTACTCGCTTTAGACAAAATAGTAATTATTTAGTGGATCGCCACTTGATTCTGTCTTGTCAGTGGTGCCTATTATAATTCCTTTTGAATTTGCAACATTTGTAGACTCAAAGGCTTTTAGTACTGATTTCTCTACAGTCTTCAAATTGGACCCATTCCATGGTGAGGTCTACTTCAGGCCGATTTTGCCAGAAACTCAAAGCCCACGGGCCAAATAATTTTTTTCCTAAAGAATTGGGACTGGATCTTCAAAATAATTTATAATGACAACATTATCACAGCTAGAAAGAGTCCATGTTCATTACTAATATCCCCCTTGGCAATGGACTTTAACAGGCTATGCCCTTTAATAAAAATTTGTTATTTTTGTGATTATTTTAATTATAGAGGCTTGGCTGGAAATTATCAATTTAACATCACTTAATTTCAAGTGAAAATATAAATTAGGTTGAATTAAGTGTGAAGCTTGATTCAGTTTGCTTACTTTCTGCCACCTAAAATACATTGTTATTAAAATACATTTGCCTTTTATTTCCAGTCATTTTAACATGTTTGGCTTTGAATTTCATGTACCCCAAAAACATGCTTAATTTTAGAAAATTAAATGGGTTTTTAAAACACCTGCAGACAGAATAAATTCTATTGTGTGCCCTTTTCATTTTAAATTCATTAAAAGGATGTTGAAAGTTAATTTTAGAGATTAGGCCAATCCCTATCAAGAATCAAGATCTTGAGGTCAAAAAAGATATTTTCCAATGCAGGCAATGTGGTCTGGAGATGTTCCTGTCTAACTGTGAGCAAAGTTCCTTCAGGAGAGGAGGGTACGACAACCGCTTCTATACCCTTCTTCATGAGTCCGTGGATTACTCGCATAACTAAACCGCAGTCTGCAGGTGGGCAGGCGCACGTGGGAACACGGACCCACATCCCTCCCACTCACACTGATAGATGTGGAGAAAGGTCTCGCTGAGCTTGTTGGTGAACAGGGGCTCGGGCAGGTCCCGGAAGAACTGCTTCACCAGGTCCGCCACGTCGTAGGCAGACTGGTCCTCGTAGCTGACGTTCTCGGGGAAGTTCTCGTTCATCTGGCGCAAGGCATGGATCCTAGACTTCACGCCCGATTTTCGAAAAAGTCCCACCTGAAACAGGTCACAGGGACGTGTTAGCGAGGCGCCCTTTGCCCCAGACATTCTCTTCCTGAGACAGTTACCTCGGAGTGACGGGGAGACATGGGGCCAGGACTGGAGCAGCAGCAGCTGCATCCAAGCCAGTCGACTGTGAATGACTAGATCGGTGACGTGGTGGGGGTGGGTGGGGGCAGGTGGGCACCGACTCCTCTCGGATAAAACGAAGACAAAGTGGAGTGCCAGCCCACCTCCGAGGGCTCAGTGGAGGCTCAGTGAGAACGTAGGTACGACTGTGCTTTGTCGCCTGTAAAGTCTTAGAACACAGTGGATGTTATTCTCTTGCTCATTTATTCAGCAAGTAGTGATCACATAGCCCCTATGTGCCAGGCGTGCTCACAGTTCCTGGAGTCGTGAGTGAGCAGACCAGACAGAATTCCCTGCCTGCTCGTGTCCACCCTCAGTAGGGACGTGGAGACAGCTCTGTCAGTAGACGCTCTGGTGGGTCCCAGATCAGAAACCAGACCCAGCGTCCCTTTGGGGGTGAGATTTATAGGGAATACGCTTAGGGAGCAAAAGAATACCCTGAGCTTGTATACTGATTCAAGAGTCTCATTTGCTTTTCGCGTTTTCGAATTCCTGTAACACTCGCCATGGGTGTTTCTCCTGCGGTGCCCGGGGCACCCCCTGTGCTGCCTGGTGGGTTGCTGTGTGCCCAGCTCTGGATCTGGGGAGAAGGCTCCCTGGGTGGCTTTGCTTCCCACGTCAAGTCAAGACGTTGTCTCCTGCCTCTTTCATCCCTAAGGCTTAGACTCTTTCCCCACTTAACAGATACGTGCAGTGATAAGGCACCAAAGAGATTCGGCCCTACTGATAGGGGTGAGGGAGGCCGAGCTGGGCCCTGGCAGAAGGCAGATCCCTGTAGGTGGTGCCCCAGGCCCTGCAGGATCTGCACCCTCTGGATGCACCTGGACCCCCAGAGACCCCCCGGTTTACAGTGAATTAGTACATTTGCTATTTTAAATGCCTGTAGGACATCGAGTTGCTCAATACTCAGCCTTTCAAACCTCAACCTCCACTTTTCTCATTCCCTAAGGGCTTAGAGGTTGGCCCACTTTTGAGAGCAAGGGGGGAACATTCCCAAGAGGTAAGCCAAGGCCCCACCTCCATAGACCTGGAGAAGTGTGCCAGGTCCTCTCACAGCCACTCCGCATGCCAGGCAGGCCTCTGCCCAAGTTCAAGTGTCAGTGGGGAGCTCTTGTGGTCGCTGCTAATTCTTTTAAATTGCAATAACAGCAAGGGGAGAATTCCAAGCAATTAGAGAATACTGGGGTTTTTGTGTATGTCAGCTGAATGGGTAGCAGGGGAAATTATACCCTGCTACTTTCTGTGGCAACACAAACAGAGTTCTTAGTACCACGTCTCTGCATTCCAAGGCTCATCCCCCTAATTCCACAGATCAGCCTGTTCAGTCAGGCATGTCACCGAAAACATCAGCTGCTCCCATTTATGTGCTTAGTGTCTGGCATGTCTAGAAAACGCAACGTGTGGCCGTACATAGGTGACTCTCCAAGAAGAATGTAAGGGCACCTGCTGGCAACTACTCCAAATTTGATCCAAGTGCATGAGAAGAAAGCATGTACTGTCAAAAGGAAACTTCAAGATGCTGACTGATGAAGAACAATCATCCCGAATAACCAACTGAACTAGCTGAAGGGGCGTCTTATAGCCACAGGTTTACAGAAGAGGCCACATCCAGACTCTCCAAACGAGTTGCTAAGGGCTAGGCACAGACAGCCTCTGACACTGGCTTGCATCACGGCTCCTCCCAGGAGGCCCCAGAACCAACACACCCGGTGGCCAGCTTCAGGCAACATCAGAGCTGGGTCCATTTCCTTTAGCGTCACAAGCAGCATCTCCAAAGGGAGATCTCTGCAGGTACCAGACCCTGCTGAGGCAAACTCTGCTTTGAGTGCTCAGCACCTGCATGACATCTTACACACTGTGGTCGGGGCTGGTTCTCACAGTCAGCCAGCCTGAGAGTCAACCCTGTGCAGGGCCAATAGCATTCAAGACTCAGTGAGGACAGGAGGGCTTATATGGCCCATACAATGGACAGTCCTAGAGTGCCCAGCTCAGGTGATGAAGAAGATGGTGCCACTGGGTCCCATAGGACACCTACTGCATGAGGCCATGCCATGAAGCTTGGAGTCATAGCAGGTCTATCTAGTATGCATAAATAAACACAAAGAAGCAGCCAAAATAGAGACTAGAACAAATATCCCAAAGTTCATATGGAACCACAAAGGACCCAGAGCAGCCACAGCAATCTTGAGAAAGAAGAACAAAGTTGGAGGAATCATGCTAGCTGATATTAACTGTACTACAAGACTATAGTAATCAAAACGGCATGGTACTGGTGTAGAAACAGACATATAGATCACTGGAACAGAATACAGAGCCTAGAAATAAACCTATGCCTTTATAGTCAATTAATATCTGACAAGAAGGGCAAAAACATACGAAGGGGTAAAGACAGTCCATTCAATAAATGGTGTTCAGAAAATTGGACATGTGTAAAAAAATCAAAGTAGACCACCTTCTTACACCACACACACAAATAAACTCAAAATGGACCAAAGACTTAAGTGTAAGACTCAAAGCCACAAAAATCCGAGATGGAAACATAGGTGGTAAAATCTCAGACATCTGCATAGCGATATTTTTTCTGATGTATCACTCTGGGTGAGGGAAACAAAAAAAAAATAAACAAATGAGACTACATTAAACTAAAAAGGTTTCGCACAGCAAAGAAAACCATCCACAAGATGAAAAGACAACCGACTGAGTGAAAGAACATATTCACCCATGATACATCTGATAAGGGCTTGATATCCGAAGTTTATAAAACTCAACACCAAAACAGACAAACAAACAAACAAACTACCTAATTAAGAAATGGGCAGAGGACTTGAATGGGAAGTTCTCCAAGAGGTCATACAGATAGATGGCCAATAGATATATAAAAGAATGTTCAATGTCACTCATCATCCGACAAATGCAAATTAAACCCACAACGAGGTATCACCTCCCACCTGTCGGAATGGCCATCATCAATAAATCCACAGACAACAAGTGCTGGAGAGGACGTGGAGAAAAGGGACGCTCGTGCACTGTGGGTGGGAATGCAGACTGGGAATGCAGCCACTGTGGGAAATAATGTGGAGTCTCCTCAAAAAAATTAAAAATGGAACTGCCTTATGACATGGCAATTCTACTTCTGGAAATATATCCAAAGAAAGCTGAAACACTGATTTGAAAGAATATATGCACCCTATGTTCACTGCAGCATTTTTTACAACAGCCAAGATTTGGAAGCAGCCCAAGTGCCATTAGTAGATGAGTGGAGGAAAAAGCCGTGGCCCGTTTACACAACGGGATACGAACCGGCCGTAAAAGGAATGAAGTCCTACCTTTTGTGACCACATGGACAGACCCAGAAGGTATGATGCTAAGTGAAATGTCAGACAGAGAAAGACAAGCACCATATGACTTCACTTGTATGTGGGATCTAAGGAACAAAATAAAGAAACAAAACAGAAACAGACTCACAGACACAGAGGACAGACTGGCAGCTGTCAGAGGGGGCAGGGGTTGTGGGGTTGGGTGAGAAAGGTGAAGGAATTAAGCAAAAAAGCAAATTCCTCAGACACAGACAATAGCATGGTGATGACCGGAGGGAGAGGAGGGAGGGGGAGGAAGAGGAGGGTCAAGGGGGGGATAAACGGTGATGGAAGGAGACTCCGGGTGGTGAACTCGCAATACAACATACAGGTGGTGTGTGATAGAATTGTGTACCTGAAACCTGTATCACTTTATTAACCAACGTCACCCCAGTAAATTCAATAAAAATTACATTTTAAAAATGTCAGTTGAGTGCTTACTGAAGTGATGTCCAGCCGGAATTTGGTTACATCCCAACTCTTGTAATTCTGGAGGGAGGCCCAGAGCTGCACTGAGCCGGAGTTCTAGAATCTAGGTGCCCCAAACGTGAATTCTTGACGTGACTCACACTTATTTTCGTGTGAGTGGGTGTGTACTCAGTGGGAGAACTCCCGTCTATTATTTCTAACCGCAGAGCAATACTGATGGGGACCCACGAAGAGAATAAAGCAGGCACGCACTCGAGTGAAATCTGCTGGCGCATTTAGAATCAGTATTCTAAATGCGGGGGCAGGGCAGGGGCCCAGCTGGAACGGGGACTGTGGGGGGCGGAGAGCAGCGGCGGCCACTAGTCACCCGTTCCCACCCAGGTTGCTCAAGAAAGAATTTGAGGTGACTTACTGGACGGTGACCTATAAACACAGTAAGATGCAATCGAACTGAGGAAAATAGATGAGAAATTTAGAGCAAAAGGAAGATCGAGGCTGAAGAGAGTGGCTGAAACCAGGGGTGAAGGAGACACACCACACGCCTGCCCCCAATCACACGTTTCCCACGAGCAGCCCACACCGGCGGCCCCTGGGGGAGGCCCCGTGCGGGGCTGAAAGAGTCTGGTGCGCTCAGTGCAGACGACAGCCCAGGGGCCCCAAATCAACGCGGCGCCCACGTTGGTTGGCTCTTTCGTCTTGGCCAGGGACACGGCGTGACATCACGGCCAACGTCACCCACAATGTCCTGGTGGTGAATTTCTCAGTGAGTGGAGGAGGGCCCCTTCTCAGAGTGCCCCCCAGTTCCACACATGGCACCCCCGCCCTCAAGTCCAACAGGAACCAGCAGTTCCAACGGCAGGCAGGTCAGGGCGGGAGTTAAAAACTTGGGCTCCGAAGCCGGGCAGATTGCCAAGCCCTCCGGGCTCCACCGCCGCTCCCTGGGAGACAACACCCCCAGGGGTGGAGGGGTTCACGGAGACAAGGCGTGCGAAACACTTAGTAAGGTCCCTGGAGCGTGCTGGGCACTCCAGAGAGGTTCTTCTTATTGAACCAATGGCACAGACGGCCTGAATGTCCTTCGGGCGTTCCCGAACAAGCACTGTTTTCTCTGACAGCGCTTCTGCCTGATGAGCATGAGCCGACCACTCACTAGAATGTACAGAACAGAATATTTTCTGTGCTTGGTAAAATGCTGAGCCAGACTCTAACAGCATCAGCTGGGAAGGAGGATGAGTCTTAATGTGTCCTTATAAAAATTAAGAAGCTTGGAAAGCTTCTCCCTCTACAAAGCATAACCTTGACTGTGTCCTCACAAACCAACAGAAGTACAAGCAAGACCACAAAGTCCTCAGCCACCGGGCACAGTGGCGACACTTTTAGGACCGTGAACGGAGATTGCATGGGCCTTTCCGAATATTCACCTGTGCCCACGTCTCCACGGAGGTCCCTCAGGAAACTACCCACAGGTCACCTACTTTTGATAAGCGTGTGCTTTGGGTTAAAAGCTGTAAATGTTAAAAAGGCAAAATAAAAAGCTAAAAAGGTCAAGTAAGCAGATTCAGCGGTTTGCTCTGTCGGGATGTTCTTTATAAATCCATGCTGGGGCCCTTGCCAGAGGTGAGTGCCATAGTTCTAGACACGTGGTCTGCCGCCCTTCTTTCTCAGAAGCAACAGCCAGAAGTGGCTACTACAGCTACTTCTCAGAACGAAACAGCCGTCCCCTCCACAGCAGAAACAGCCATAGCTCCCGCTCTCCACGAGGCCGCCTAATAAATGTGGAAAGTCGGATCCCTGTCCCTTCTCTGGCATCACACGGAGAAGTCACTCCTCCCCGTTCCCCTGAAAACTCATCTCTCATTCATCCAGAGACATGCTCATTCTACGTGGGAGCTCAGGGTCCGGGCTGATGTGAGCGGCAGCAGCCAGCATCTTGAGGTCCGGCAGCTCAGCTCAGTCCTGTCCACTGAGCCCAAGGTCAAGGGGAGATCCATAAAACCTGCGAATCACCTTAGGGTTCTTCCCAGGAATTAAAGAGCACAGTGAACAGCCCTGGCTGGTGTAGCTCAGTGAATTGAGCACAGGCCTGTGAAACAAAGGCTCGCCGATTTGATTCCCAGTCAGGGCACAAGCCTGGGTTGCAGGCCAGGTCCCCAGTAGGGGACACATGAGAGGCAACCACACATTGATGTTTCTCTCCCACTCTTTCTCCTTCCCTCCCCCTTTCTGTAAAAATAAATAAATAAAATATTAGAGGGGAAAAAAGAGTACAGTGAACTGCTCAAGGTCACAACTTATCAAGTGGCAACATGGCTCTTGCTTTGGAAAGAATGTCTGAGAAGCCAGCAGGTGTTGACTGGGAGGAGAAAGGCTTGGCCTGTAAGCCACAGGGTGGGGAGCACCGGGCCCAGCCACAGCCCACCATCGTGGTGGTCCCCAAACAGTCCTGGACACAGAAAACGACCTCCAAACATTTCATGTCCCTTGAGCCTTTTAATCGACTCTACAAGATGCAGGGGTATTTGATTTAGCTGATGTGGTTTTCACAGTTTTCTCACACACTTAAAAAAGCAGTAAGTAAACTTGTCTTTGCCTCACATTTTCTTAGTCATGGTGCTGCTTCAAAAAAATAGAATTAATAAAGGAACAGATAAAAACCAATTCTTTTAAAAGGGCATCATTCGGGTGCCCAGGAGGAAACGCCCTTGAACAGCCTGACTAGGGCGAGGCTGGCCCGACTGAACAGTGAGGGACGGGGCTCCAGGGCCTCCCCCTTCGGGCGGAGCCTGCCTTGCGTGGCCCGGGCGGCTGTGACTCCGTCCCGCGTCCCCTAACTCCGAGCCTGCCTGCGGGGTTTCCACCCGTACCTGGTCCAGACAGTTGCTGCGTAGATACCTCAGCGCTTGCTGGATACTCTGCGGCAGCGGCTGCCCCGTTCTCTGCACGTGGACGATGAGGGGGACACCAAAGACAGTCCTGTCTTTGTAATCCGGCACTTTCATCCTCTTCATGAACTTTGGGACTGACCTGGAATTCGCAGAAAACAGGTCACCAAGCCTGCGGCGGGGGACATGCCGATGGAGAGAAGTGGCGAAAGCAAAGCAAGAGTTGGGAAGCCAAGCTTTGGCTGCAATACCCGACAGGCCGGGGAGATTCACCGTTTCTCCCTTAATTAATCCCAGGACTCGGAAGGACTATGAGGCCCTGGCATGTGTCAGAACTCGACCTATTACACAGCGGGAGTCGTGTCTGCAGATGGGTTTGGGACCCAAGTCAAATGTTCGATGTTCTAATTTAATCATCACTGACACACCTCTCAAGGCATGGACACTTAAAAGTCCCAACAAGACAAAATGAAACACATTTAAAAATTATAAGAAGAAGAAGAAGAAGAAGTACTTTGGTTGGTCTGGGGAAGACATGAGGGCAGAACAGATAAAAAGCATTTCTTGGCTACGATTTTCCTACAACCCGTTGCATTTTTGAAAGGAAATGTTAACACACAGGCATACACTCATTTGATAGTGCAACTTCCAACTTTCTAAATTAGTTTTATAGAAGCACTGCCAATTCTGCTATATCTGTGACATATACTGCAGGACAATCAGGGATGCATTTTATATGTTTTCAAACCCGCCAAATCGTCTGAAATAGGCCCACATCCAAGCTCCAACACCCGGTCGGTCCATTCCCCGTTGGGAAGCATTTCCCACCTACTCTTGCTTTGACTGGTCAGGAAAATCAAAGCAGACATGTGCGTGAAGAATGAAATGCTTTTTCCATGTTGAGCTCTGCCTGCACCTGGGGGTGCAAAGGACAGATGTTTTCCTGGAAGAAACTGCCTGAATTACTTTACGGCAAGTTTCTTTCTCACTGTTCTGTTCCAAGTTAATCACCCTTCCCCTTGTCTTTTGTCCTCCTTGGAGCCGGACTGCCCTCCCTGGGCCCCAGCAGGGAGCTGCACACAAGCCCTGTGTCCCCAGGTGACATCGGTCCAGCTGAGGCAGACTGCGAAGCAGAGCTTGTGGGGGGGTGTCACATGTCACATTCAGGAGGTCAGGCAAGGAAGGTCGCAGCGAGGAGGGGGGCTTCAGAAATCAGCCAGCAAACCCTGAAGCTTCCACCATTGCGTGCTGAGGTCTAACAGGCGGGAGTCCCCGCCCCAGCCCCGCCCCCTGCCCCACCCAGAAGAGGTGCTACGCACCAGGTCCAGCCGTGCCTGCTGGACATGGAGTGCTTCTCCATGATGGCCGTCAGGCGCAGCAGGGACACCCGCTGCAGCAGGCTCAGCTGCCCGGCGCTCAGGTGGCTGATGTGCGGCGAGGCCGTGGAGGGCTGCGGCCGGTGCGAGAGCTGGAAACTGTCCCACCGGAGTCGCCTGTGCCGGGGAGAAGACATCACTGTGGGGATGTGTCCTCTGACACCCAGGACTGTACTGATCATTAAGTAGCTAGTCAGGAGAGGTTTTACGCCAAGAAAGTCACCAAATAAATGGGACGGGAGACACAGATGTATAGAAGAGACCCAAGAAATGGTTTTCTCCAAGCCTGACACATCAGGAAGAGAAGCTGTTCTCTGTGGCATTAGGAGGTTTACATAAGGTATATAATACATTTTCTTTTCATTGCTAATGTGTTCCCAAAGTGCGGAAAGCAGCTGAATGTGCGTGTGCATGAGAGAGAGAGAGAGAGAGAGAGAGAGAGAGAGAGAGAGAGAGAGAAGTGCTGGGAAAGCCCAGAATAGCTGGCCGGGCAGAAGTGACTGGTAGGGAATGTGAACGTCTCGCAGGAGATGGACAGCAGTTTGAACACGTCACCTAAAATGTCCTATGGCGTGCTGGAGTGTGGTATTGCTGTGTTGCAGAGTGACATGCTTATGATTTTGTAACAGAAGAGTTGGTGCAGGTTACCAGCTCATACACCAGGGGTGCTGTTTGTGCTGGACCCTGTATTTTCATGATGTCATCCTGTCCCTGCATCCGAACTCTCGTTCCTGACGAGAGGGAGTCCAACGGTGACGGGCGCAGAAGCGGCACTCCCCAAGTGGTGACACGTCCGTGAGTCCCCAGAGACGTCACGGCATCCACGAGAGGTGCACGACGTCATTACCTTCTACCAGTGACACCCACGCAGGGCCACTTCCTGGGGTCCTTTGGAAACGGTCTCTGTACAGCAGTTTGCGATCGGCATTTTAAAGCCAAAATAAATGTACGAAGCACCCACTTTAGATCTCAGAATTTTCTCCTACAATTACATTAAACCCGTGTAACCTGTGGGGTGGGGACATTTTAATGAAAGCAGTAAAGGTCACCGGAAGCACCTGGGTGCCGGCACTGGGTGCCTGTCATCAGCGACCACCCATGTGCCAAACACAGGCCTTTGCACACGAGCCCCGTGTTGTGGAATAAAACTAAGGTGGACCCAGAGGGCAAACACTCAAGACAGAGGTGTGAGGCAACACAGATTCGATCACGGCTTCATGGACAGAAGGCAGACTTCCGACCCAGTGGTTCCTGCCCACACAGATCACGCACAGTGGTGTGGGGCGTTTAGCACGGGCTCCGCGCATGTGTGGTGAATGCGTGCACAGCCCATGACTGTTAACGAAGTGGATTAGGAATCATTTCACGACATCACGCCACCCACCTGTTGGGCCTGGTCAGAGAGGCCCCGACCCCAGAATCCCTCCTCTCTCGGGCCCCGGGGGCCTCCGACCCGTTCAGCGAAGTGCCGTCCCTCTCCGCGTCGCTGGGTGTCGTCTGGCCCTCGGAGACGGAGCTGCCTTCGAAGTCTAGGGCGATCTGGTGAGGCGGCGGGAAGGGGCACAAGCCAGGCTTTCCCAGCACGGCCCCCCCCACGTGCGGTTCGGGCAGCACGTCCTTGGACCAGTCATCCACCACCTCTTGCAGCCCGCTGACCTGCAGCAGGATGTCGTCCAAGTGAGGGAAGAGGTCCTCTCTCCCCAAGTCCAGCAGGTCTCCCGTGCTGGCGTACAAGTGGGAGCCGGGGACGTTGTCGTAGATGCTGACGCGGCTGGCCCTGTGGCGGGATGCCATGAGCCCCGGCTCCCGGGCCTCCAGGCCCTGCTGCCTGCCCAGGGAGATGCTGCCCGTCCTCCAGTTCACCCCATTGCTGTTGTCCGTTGGCGAGAGGCTCTCGATGGACAGCGCCTTGGGGAACGTGCCCGGTTTGTGATCCTTCGGGACGTGCACGACCAAGTTCTCCTGGGAATGGAACTCGTGCGTGTGGTTCTGGTCCGCGGTGCCCCGCAGCAGTGTGGTGCCGGCCAGCACGTCCAGGTCTTCCAAGTACATGCCCCCTCGCTTGTGTGCCTCCTGGCACTTGCGCTCCTTCGGGCTGGGTGCACTCAGCCCACCGCTGCTGCCACGCTCGGAGGGGCTGCTCTCGCCACTCCGTGGGCTGGAGCCTGCGGCCCCTCCAGGCCAGGCGGCCAGGGCCGGGCTCTGGAGGTCTCCGTTTGGTACCTGGACACAGTGCATGGCTTTGAAGGACTCCGGCTCCTGCTGCAGAATGGGCCCGCTGATCACCAAGCCCCCTGTCCGCCCCAGCCCCTTGTGCCTCCCAGGGGCTCCTTTCCCTCGGAGCGTCTCCACGCGTTTCAGAAATGACTTGGCCCTAGTCCGGCTGGGTTTCTCATTCTTCGCGTGGAAGGGGTAGCTGGATATGTCTTTGGGGGACTGTGGGAGGCTGGGGCTGACGACTGTGGCATCCAGCATGGCCAGGCCGTCGGAGCAGCCCTGGCCAGGGCAGGGGAAGGCCTCCCGGCCGGCGCCCTGGCTGCTCGGCGGGCCGCGGCCCTCGCTGCCCCCGCTGCTCTCACTGTGGACGGAGCAGACCTCGGGCTCGCTCAGGTCCGTGAGCACGCTCTCACTGCTGGTGGTGTTTCTCATCCTCATGCCCCCCGAGGACCCGCTGCGGTCTCCCCCCAGAAACAGAGTGTGCGGGTCGTCCACCCGGGACCAGCGCCTGCTGGTTCTCTGGAAGGTCCATTTGTTGCTGATACAGAGGTCTTCCTCATCCGAATCGTCACCCTGGAAGACATCAAGGACAGTGCGCATTGGCTGGTGATACGAATGACATGGGACATTTGGGGGCAGGGGCGTGGCCGTCCCACGCCCCTCCCTTCCCTCCATTTCACACGCACCCTCAGGGGTTTGGGGGAGCCTTCCCTGGGTCCTCCCACCGGCCCCCACTGTCCCACTCGCCCTGCTTCTCCCTGGTGGCTGGAGGGTCTCCCCAACCTGCAGGCTTCCTTCCTCTCCATTCTCATACAGTTTCTGTCCTCCTGGCAAGTTTTCCTTGACTGATTACAAAGAAGGTGTAATTACCGTCTGACTAGACAGTCTAAATCTAAAACATCTGCGGTCTCGTTTTCACACGGAAACTTAATCCCGCCGTAAAAGGCACTTATTTTTCCCTGAAACTGCCTCCCGGAGCCCCAGGTTCCCATTTCCAGCTTCCCTCTCCTGAACCTCCAAGTCCCTTTATCTCGAAGCAAGGCTCCTTATACTCCCCGTGTAAATGCACAGCAGAACTCCCTGCGCGATGCCTGGAGCGGAATCCCAAGCTCACTAGACGAGAAGGGTCTCCCTGGGCCGCCTTCTCCTTCCCGGTCAGTTCTGAACCTCGGGGCCTTCAGCAGGACTTGCATCTCTGGGCTGCCCCGGTCCCCAGCGCTTCGCGGTCTTACACTCTGCTCCTCACCCATCTCCCCGGTCTGGGTCCCATCTGAATTCTCAGCCCCTGAAGGATGAGAGGCTGGTTCCCTGAGGCCAGAGGTGGCCACGTGTATCTTTGCAAATCCCTCCAGCCCAGTCCAGACCTTGGCCTAAAGCACCTAAATAATCATTTCCTTCCGAGACGAATCATCTACTCCTTCCTCCTCCTCGACTACGCATTTTACCAGGGCCCAGCTCCGAGGATTTTCAAATCTGTTCCCTCATTCGCATCCTCACCCCACTCCCTTTGTTTTGGAGTCCCTCTCTGGGTCCGCCACAGGCAAAAACTCCAGTGCCTTGCCCGCCGGAGCAGCTTCCCACGGTGCCATTGAATGTGACCATGTAATCTCCCAGCTCAGAAGCCATCCCCGTCCTGTGACCTTCCTAACAGTCCGCAGTGTGGCCCCAACCCCCTTCCCCTGGGACTACGTCATTTCAGTCGCTCTTCCCGATTCCCGCCCACTCTGGCCCCTGGAGGGACCACAGCTGTCCCCCAACACCCAGCTCTGCTCGGGGTTTTGAGCCTCGAAGGGTAGTATGTGGCCCACTGCTGAGAACGTCCTTTGCTGACTGCCCCGGACAACGACGACCTTGTCCCCCGCATTCCTGCGGCATTTGGACGAGACCTATATTTAGCATTTGCTCTGAGGATGACCCGAGCCGGTCACATACGCCCACTCTCAGCCACTACAGAGGAGCTCCGAGAGCAGGGCCGGGTTTCTGTGTGTGCTTCCGTCCCATGGCCAACCTCAGAGCCACTCGCTGCTCAGTGCATTTTTGTTCATTAAGTTTATTTTATTCCACTCTGTCATCTGGTTCTGAGATGCGAGGGCTAGGGGTGTCAGCTAAGAGCTTTTGTGATTGTACCTAGGTGGCTTACTGTTTCTGAAGGGTCTATCACTCGTAAAGTTGGACTGAAAGCTACAGGTCTTGCTAGTCACTGGTCAAGGGACTCCACCAAAGAGTATGAGCAGGGGACTGCACACAGCGAAGGAGGGGTCGCTGGAAGGGGCCTCAAAGTTCTGTCCATTTGAAAAGTAACTGGGACAAGCCAGAGAACTCGTGGTTTCACAGTATGAAGGTGGCCCGGGGGCTTCACTGAGTGGCCTCGAGCAAGGCACCCCTCTTGAGACTCTGTGTTCTCAGCTGTGAATGGGAAACAGTGTGTCATATGTACTCGCAGTGAGGTGCGTCACTAGAGACAAATGAGATGAGATAAGAGAAAGGCACAGGAACCTTAAAGGGCAAGATCAAAGCCGTTCTTCCTGTCGGAGACCGGCGATACAGAGATGTCTAGAGATCCTAACAGCACGGCGGGGTGGCCTGTTAAGCAGATGACATGTCATGGAGTAAAATATAAAGACCCACCTTTAAAAGTCAAGCCGAGGGCGCGCAGGACGGCCCAGACTTGGGTGGACGGCAGTTGCTATGCGTAGCTTTGAGCACCGTGGCAGACTTAAGTTGATATGAGTGAGTCATGCCCTGTGGCCACCAAAGCTGGTCCCCAACTTTAGACTGCATGGGTCTCTAGACTCCAGAGACTCAGCCCACCATGTCACCCTCGGCTCACACACATCAGTAGCAGCAGGCTCTTGTTCTAAGTGCCACCTTTGAAGGGGCACAAGGGAAAGGGTACATTTCTAGGGAATGGCCAAGCATAGGAGGACCACAACCTCCTGTGAAGGGTGATGGAAGGAACGGATAGTTTTGGTTTAGAAATGAGGGACTTTGGAGTGATGTCACTCAAAGCATGATCAAGGGCCTTTCAGTGCCCAGGCTTACTAGTCTTCGATACGTACCGACACTGACAGTCGGCGTTACAAGGTCTGCCACCATCTGGCCAGGCCGTGCCCTCCAAGGTCATGATCAGCGGACTAGTATCACAGAGCAGGGTAGAGCCCGTTTTAGGTGTTGTGCACAGTAGGTCCACATTAAAGCATGTACAAGATGAATTGACCTGCCATAACTCAAGGGGTACAACGTACAGGGTTTGTGGTTTTACGGAAAGATAACTGTTGAAATTGGCTAGTAAGGAAGGCTTAATGATGAATTTCGAAAACACAGCAACACATTTCATTTTGAAAAAACATAAAGAGGAGTAAAGTCTGAGGCTTTCAAAAATTACTTTCAAACCTCTTTTGTGATTCTAGTCAACACGTGACTAGTGAGACTGGTTTCTTTATAATGATTAATATTAAAACAAAGAATAAAAAACATTTTAGACATACATTCCTTCCTGTAAGTAGTGTTGCCAATCCAACCTAAACTAGAGGATAAACAAGAAACTCAAGGTCGTGGATACTCATAGTCACGGAGTTTAGCTGAAGTCTGAGTACAGGCATTTAACACGGGGAATCGCTATCTCAAAATAAACCTTTTGTTTCGTTATGAGAGCTGAACAACCACAGAGTTGGAAGTACAATCAGAATTCTTCATATTACTTGTCCTATGTACACTTTCAGGACAAATGTGAATTCTGTAATCCTTTTCTTTTTCTCACTCTGTTTGTTCTGATTGTACGTACTGGAATGCAATGTTGTGTCCATTGAGTCTAAGAAGACACTTGGGCTTCTATGTTCTGTAATTCTCTTTGTCTCATTTCCTATTTTGAACTCATTCGTGTTGGATTTTATGAAAAAGCCTTGGTCAGAAGCGCAAAACACAGCAAAGCAGAAACAGCACCCCCTCCGGCAGTCTGAGAAAGCTTGCGTTGGACGGAACAGGAGTAAGGGAACTTCCTGTTAAGGGTTGGATAGTGACGCTTGCAGGTGTGGTTACTTGGCTGTGCTGTTGTAGCTGGCACCCTGGGGGTGACTTCATCGCAATGCAGAGTTCTGCACAAAGACAGGGGCCCAGGTGGGCTGGCCTTGGTCCAGAGGATGGAGTGGGAGGGGAAATCCGTGAGCTGTGCTTCCCTAGATGAAAGAGCTGGGATCGGAAGGGCAAGTTGGCACTGAATCAGCTTTCGGCTCACTCTGCGGAAGACCCAGGGTCATCAGAATGACACAGATGGCCTTGCCACGTGGCGAGCGCATCGCGTCTAGATGCTTCAAGCACGGGCTGCGCCGCCCTATGCGGGGTGCCCTACGAAGTCGACCTGCAGTGGGTGCGAGGCTCAGAGTGACAGTGGAAGGTGGTCCAACTCGGAGGGCCTGGTGGTCTAGGAGACCACACGCAGTGTCCTTCCATTGCAGACGGTAACTCTCCAGCCACACAGATGCGGGAGTAAGTGCGGCTTGTCTCTCACTTGCCTCTGCTGGGGAGCAGCTGGGAGGTGTCCTAGGTGCTGGGAGGTCCCGGGGGTGCATCGCAGCGTCGGGGACACCAGGCACCTGGACAGTCGCAGCTCATCGGTGATGGAGGAGCGGCTGCGAGGTGCCCGTTAGCCACGGGTTCTGTCCACCTTGGTCATGAGGTCAGGGAGCTTTATGGAAACTGATTTTAGCTAGAAACTTCTTCAGAAGCCACTTCCTCTCGGGGGAAATCTTAGGGAAGAGTTCTGGGTGCAGGCGTGCCCTGCTCTGGCCACACAGCCCCTTGGAGTCTCCAGTATCGGGTGCGGCCTCAGACCAGACATCGTGCCCTGGAAACATGAACTGTAACTGAGTTAGGGTCGATGTTGTCACACAGCACGTGGAGATATTTTGGGCGACCATGAAGAAGAAGCACTTTTTGGAGAACCGGTGGCATTTGCGTGTGCCTTGCTTTTCACTTAGGTGGAGCTTGGATGTTTATTGTTTTATGGAAAATGAGAACATTCTTAATGGAATGATGTTTTCCTCAGAGATGATGGCCAAGCAGACATGGCAAAGGTGAGTTTAAAAAAATTTTTTTTTGAAGTGGAACGTGGCCACACCTTCCCACTGGGAAGGAGCCCGCATGACCCACAGCTGCCGGCGGCACTGACCACAGCGTCCACCAGGACATTTAGACGTTCGTTCCCCTCATTGGAGCAAGTGGAGCTGCAGGCTGGGGCTCCGAGGTGTCCCGAGGCCCCTGTGAGACCCCTGGGTGGGCTGGACAAGTCGTTCAGGGAGGTTTGTGGCCCAGCTTGAGACCACCTATCTCCCCCGAGCCCTCCCGGAGACAAGCAGGGCGCCCCGAGTCTTCGAGAGACCACAGCGCCCCCGTGCAAGGAGAGACTCTTGTCTGCAGGCAGCTGTGGTCTCCTCTTCCCCACACTTCCCGAGTGGCGTTCAATGCAGAGAAGCGCGAGCGAGGCGTCACCCTCCTTGTCCAGGCCACTTTCTGTGACTGGGCTGACCCATCAAACTCTTCAGACACAATCGCATGTGGGAAAAATGCAAGCAGAGCAGTAAGATTTGAGACCTGTTCCCTGCAAGACACCCAGAGGTGATCGTCCCTGAAGACATTACATCACTCGTGGACCTGAGTACAGATGGCAAGAAACGACCCTCTCCGAAAACCAACTGTGTTTTGCCGAGGAAACACGTCCGGGTCTCCGGCCAAGGGCCCCGCACTTGGGCTGCAGCAGGTTTCTGAATATCCTGGGCGGGCAAACAGGGGTTCAGATCCTGCCTCGGCTAATGGTGTGCGGTTTTGGGCAAGTTGCTGCCTTCTTGCCCTTTAATTTCTACACCTGTCATGTGGGGTCAGGGACGGGGGCCATGCTGGGCACACAGCAGGCATGTGTGAGTGTTTGTGGCCCACAGAAAATGCCAAGCAAGCACACAGAGCCCTTCCGTGCCCCAGCAGCCCCAACGGGAGAGGGAGAATAGGGTCCCAGGCAGGCCACATGGGGGGACGTTCCGCAGAAGGACATTCCGCACACCCGGGACTGGGCAGGTCAGGGTGAGGACTGCGTTTTTGTTTTTTCGGGTGGTTTGCCCTGGGGATGTAGCTGGGGGACGTGCTGCTTAGTTTTCCTGCAAAGAAACAAATCCCAAAGTGGGAAGAAACTTCACATGGCATTCAGGTCTGAAGTTCCCCTTTCTATTTTTGGTCATCTGGCCTATTCCTAGCCTGTATTTATTTTTTGTATTTTTTTATTTTTTGCAGTAAAAGGAAGGAGTCGCCTATGACGTGTGTAAGAGGCCACCACGCGGGAGCCGAGGCCACCACAGCCCCAGTGGCTGGTCACCCCTGAGCACATGAGCTGGTGAAGGCCCCGCGCTGGAATTCTCCGTTTGGCAATTCCAGCTCTGACTCCCCAGTTCACCCTGTTCTACTCGAGTGCGTGCGTGGGGAGGCCCACCGCTAAGCAGGGGCTGGAAGGGGTGTGCCGCCCCGCCCGACGTGAGGGGTAAACTACAAACGTCAGAGTACCGAGTGACCGATTCACGGAGGAGCTTTGTGAAGGTGGCCTCAGTGGGCTAACGAAGGTTACCCAAGGTCGCCTCAAGGGCGGGTTTGGAAAGGCTGGGGATAGGGTGGGAATGCCATCACCCCACTTGGCTGTAAACAAATCACGTCATTCATTCGGGCGTTTCTTGCGTCACACACCAAAGCCAGAGGTGTGCGTGGGCGCCATGGGGGCCCGCCGCGCTGCAGACCATCCGGAGCGGTTGTGTTCCATCAATGGGGACCATGTGCCACGGGCGGAGTGAGAGCTGACCCCATGCTTCGGACGTTGTGTGCCTCTCAAGGGCTCTATTCAACCCCACACTTTTACTCTGTCTTTGCCCTGGACAAGTCGCTCATGTTTTCATATTTCTCTGCATATTTTTTCCACCATTTTACCTCCTTAGCTTAAATCTTTGGTTTCTAGCTCAAATCCCAAATTGTTTTTAAGGTGGGGTCAACCAAAATTCATTTGCTCCTTCTTCTTTTTTTCCTTTCCTCTTTTGGGTGCTATTTTAGAGCAGAAATTCAGGCTGAAGTTATTTTTAAAGATCAGGTTACTTAAGAGTGACTTAAAAGCCGTGTGGTTTAATGATTTCTCTGTGAAGACCTGGATAAAGAACACTTTCTTTGGACTCAAAGACGTTTTCTCTGCTTCTTCAAAGCGCACTGAGGCTGGACTTGTGCGTTGGAGATGAAAAATGAGAAAAAAGTGGAAAATGGTCTGAACTCTGCATTTCCTAAAAAGGATCGACTCAGTGAGAGAGAGGGAGAGAGAGAGGGAGAGAGAGCGCTCTCAGCGGGGCAGCTGGGAGTCTTGGGTTGGATGCAGACCTGCCGAGGCTGAGACCGAGCTCCTGCCACTGGTTCGAAGAAGATCTCGGGCGAGTGGCTTAACCTGTGCGCGCTTCTCGCTCTCTAGGAAATAGAATCCCTCTGGCAGTGAATTAAACAGGACCATTTACTGCGACCCTGCCTGGGAACACCTGGCTCTGTGAGGGCACTTGAATTAAAACGCTGTTGGAAGGAAGGAAGCAGAGGTCCTTCTGGCATGGACCCAGGCTGTTCCCCAAGTTCCCCTCATGTGCTGATATCTGTGGGGTACTTGGCTCAACCATGGGGTGCATTATTTGCAACTCGACAAACTTCTGAAAGGTTGCCGTAAAGAATTAAGACATGTTACATCTTCACGCAAAGCCTCTGATAGAAACTAAAGCAAAAGGAGGCGGTCACACAGCCTGGGCTTATAATGGACTTAGTTAGCCGTCAACGGTTATGATGAGGTAGGACACGTGGAGACCAAGCCCCGATGGTCCCGCCCCCCGTCACTTTGCTCCGGTGGGCGCTGTTTTGCATTTGTGGATGCGCAGCCCCTTCTGCTGGGATGGGCTGGGCTGGCAGGGCACACACACCTACCTTTTTCCTTTGGAAGTTCACATCAAGTTTCATGGAGGCACACTTGTTCAACGTATTTAGCCGTCTAAAAAGAAAGAAAAACACAATGATTGCAACCACTAGGGACCCTATATTTTCTCCTCATTCTGCTAATGCTCCCTCCTTGCCAGTGAAGCCGGAGTGCAGAACCATCCGCTAGGTGCCGAGCGTGTGCTGCACTCACAGGGCCGTGGCTGCAGGGGGGTCCCTGCTTGTTCTGCGGCCTCCACGCCCGGAGGATTCGGCCCCTTCCCCGATCTCACCCCCGCCCTCCGCCTGCTCCTCCTTCCACTGCCCTCGGAGCCCAGACTCCATCCTGGAGCCACACCCTCCCCGGCCGTCCACTGTCTGAGTCCCACATTTGCATCAATCCACCACCTGCCTTCTCTCTTGCTCTTGGCTGTGGGGTACAGATGGACAAAGGGCTCACATGACAGTGACAAGCTGCACATGCTGTGGACTGAATGGTGTTCCCTCAGTCACACTGAAGTCCTGACCCCTAGGATGACCTGGTTTGCAGGAAGAAGTGAGTGCAGTCAGGGGAGGTCACAGGGCGAACCCTGATCCACTAGACCTGTCCTTGTGGGAGTGGACACGGGAGAGCCCGCTCTCTCTCCATCCACCAGGTGAGCGCACAGTGAGGAGACACGGTGCCTGGAAGAGCAGGACCCCACGCCCTGCCGGCCCCCAGCCTCGGGTTTTCCGGCCTCCACGACATTGGGAAAATCAATGTGTATGTGGGTGGCACCCAGTCCGTGGTCTTTTGTTCGGGCAGCCCCTGCAGACTAACAGACATACTGTGATTTTCGTCCTCAGCTGGGTTCCCAAAATTGCTACCTGAGTTCCCTTTATTTTTCCCTCCGGTTGGCACCCAGTGTCCGACTGTGAAAGGATGCCAGTTTCTCAACAGATGACTTAGCCACCACCCCCGATGAGAAAACTATGGCTTACCGTGAGCTACTTGACGTAAAGTCATTTACTAATCCTTACCTCTATCATAAAACAGAGGTTCCTATTCTTTTTCAGAGCCGATCCTTGAACCTGGTGTCAGAGGGCCACACCCAGCACTTGCTGTGGTGCTCCCACACATCCTGTGTCCCCTCTCACCTCGGCAAACGCTCCTCCCCTCGGCCCTTCTCCTCGGTCAGCTCCTCCCTGTCTTGAGCAATGGGCTAACCAATTAGTTGGCCACCTAACTAACCGAAAGCAAAGGGACTATTGATTGTCCTCAATCCCGCCTTTCCTTTCATTCCATCCAGCTGCTCTACGAACTGCCCTTCCTTCTAGTACTCAGTTTGCTGGGAACAGTCTCGATTTTCATTCAATCCGCAGCGATCTAATTTCATGTAGTTCTCTTTCCCAATACCGTTATAATTTTGTTTTATTGGGTTATTTTTTTAAAATCATAGTTATTGAATGCCCGTGGTTTGAAGAGTCAAACATGACCCTTTGTGTCCTCTGCCACATGTGCCACTCTGTGGGGGCGGCTCTCTTCACTGTCTCTTTTGGTGTTTGCCTCTAACAACACGTTTCCACTGTTACACTTCCATTTTTCTTGATTAAATCATTATCTATTCACGCTGTTCTATGAAAGATGAGGCTCTACTTTTTTCTACCCGCTGTTCCCCCCCTCACTCCTTACACATCACACCCTTTACCTCTTGTAATTATAGTTATGTCATGATTTCACGATTTTTGATAAATCAATGTTCAGTGTTTATGATGGCCATGTAAATGCTTTTCATACATTTATCACCATACTCTGGTTACCTTTTCTTTCATTCTCAAATTTCATTATCCAAGGAGGTAATAAACATTCATTATTGTTTCCATAGTGTTTGATGTACTTATCCCTAAATTCAAACTCGAATTTCCCCAATTATCTAACTCTCTAAGCGTGTTAAAGCACATCAGATGGTCTATTAATTTAATTTCCTTGGAGACGTCTCTCTGAGAGCCTTCTGACCTGTTCTAGCTGGGATTTGCAGGTTTTTGTTTTAACACGGGCTAATCAGATTTCCCAGAACCCCACTTCTCGCATTTCTGAGACTCAAGCATATTTTCCAGAACTCTGGAGCTGAGTCACAGAAGAGGCCCAGTGATGTCAACATTCCGAGTGTGGGCAGACTGATGCTTAAGGCCTTGGTTTTGAAAGAGTAACCCTTCCGCCATAGCTGATACTGCTCCCTGGCCTACAGAACTTCCATTTTAGCCTCTCCGGGGATAAACACGCAGCCTTGCGCTGGAGGTGGGGGGAGAGTCACCTAACTGTAGATTGGGGAAATAAATGAACTTTAAATACAATTTTAATCAGCCCTCTTCTTGTTAGCCAGCCTTCACTTCCCATTTTTGAGCTTTTTAGGATTCCAGAGTGCAAACGGGTCCAGTTTATGACTTCCTCCACCGACCACTCAGATTTTATCTCTTGGGCTTGCTAGTTCTCCATTCCATGTTTCCGGCTTTCTGCTTCGGAAACTCTGTGGTTCCATCTCTGCACGGCCACCTGCTTCTGTAAAGGGACATCTCTGGAAATCAGCGGGAATTTGGAAGCCGGCTTATTTAGGCATTCTAGTTCCCACCTTGGACAAACGATTTTTCTTTTTTTTGGCATTCTGGGTTTTCTACCCAGTACGTTTGGCAATGGCAGCTCCCCTCAAAG